TTACGTAAGTTTCAGTAAATCGAATTTCAAGTAAGTTTGGTCACATGATATAAAGTACTGGGATTATATAAACTTGGCCTAGTTTTATTCATTGAATTTATTTGAATAGCTAAGACATCCGTTACAATATCATTAAATTTAAATATAAAGCAGGTAACGATATGAATATTTTGCAAGCAAGCATCTGATTTTTTGGTTTTAACCAAAAGTTATTTTAGACTAAGCTTAGCATAAAATAAATTCGAGCTATGCTAAGCTTAACAGAAAATAAACTCGGTTTATGCTAAGATTAGCATGAAACAAATTTAGTTTATGCTAAGCTAAGTATAAAATGAATTTATTTCATGCTATTAGAAACCTATTACTATTATTTAAACAAAAATTTTTATTAGCTTAAAAATATGCTAATAAATTACTTATATCTATCTAAGAATCAGAAAAATTATAAAAATATTAAAAATTATAAATTTTTTAAAAATATATATATCGATATATATTTTTCATAATTTTCCTGATACTTCAGGAAAATCGATATTAGAAATCTATTACTACTTACTATTCAAACAATATATAGTTATTGGATGCGAAGTAGCCAATAACAGAATTATTTATAAAATAATTTATTATCTGGTTGTAAAATTTAATATGTTAGCTTCTGAGCTCTAAAAAGGCCCAGAAATAACATATTAAATTCGCTGCTAGATAAACAAGTTATTGCTACATAACATACAATAATGGCTACTTACGACAACTGAACTAATAGAATAATTCTTGTTATTGGATACTTTATATCTATTAACTATTGTATTTTGTGATTTAATCGATTAATAAATCATCTTAATACTATTGAAAAAAAAATAATTTGAAGGGTATTTATTTGATTATCAGATTATACTTTCTACTCTATATTATTAAAATCATAAATTTTTTTATATAATCTTATTGTTATATTATTAAATTTTCTTATAATCTAATTATTAAATAACTTATTTTAAATAAATTTCCTTACACTCACATACTAATTATTGCAAATAAATATCATAGGCTTAAATAACTTATTTTTGAAGACTTAGATTCATATATGCTTGCTTGCTTAGATTATTATTAATAAATGTTCTTTATGCGAATATAAATATTTATTATTAGAATAACTTATTTTAATACTTTATGCTATATGAATATCTACTAACTAAGTCTAGGTTTATTATTATCAATTATAAGCTATAGAAGCTATAGACAAGATTGCTATTTGTTTATGAACTACATACTATTTTTAGTTATATTAACTATATCTCTTTTCCTTTTTTAATTTTTTATAGTACTATCCTTTTAAATATATATAATGAAAAAAAATTAAGATACAGTATTAATGATTTATAAAAATTAAAAATATTTAGTTTGAGATTATGTTCATATAATAAATATTATACTTAACAAACTTACTTTAATTAAATAGAGAGATTGTGAGCAATTCCACAAAGAAACTCCATTAATGAACGGTTATTCTGATCATTGATAATTGTAGTTATTCGTTGTTCCCTTTCAATTAAGCTTTTTTTTTGTTTAACATGTGGCTCACCACGGAAAATTCGCTCAATTTGAGCCTCGACTTGTTGTTGTTCATTCTGCATTTCTTTAATTATTGAATAGACCCCACGGGAATCACCTACTAATGTTGCTCATCTACGATGCCATGCCTCAACTGCATTTTGAGTACGTGGTATACCTAATTCTATAGAATCATGCACTGACCATAATTCAGGTGGAAAAAGAGATGCAGCACGAACTTCATTACCACTTCTTGTTCCACGCTGAATTCTACTAAGTGCATATGTTTCTTCAAACCATTTAACCAGGTTGTTTGTCTCTGCAGGCATTTGAGATTTTAAAAAATTGAATGCTGTTGGGATATCTGATGGCGGCAAAAAAGCTAATGCAAAGATATGTCTTATCTTGATGCTAAATCATTCATCATTACCATAACGACCTAGTATATATCACATATATAAGATTAAGTTTATGAGTTGATTATGTTTTGTAAATAAATTAATAAATATAACAAAATATTTAATAATATTATATAAAAAAAAAATTATGATATAAGAAAATAAATTAATTTAAAATTAATATACACTTAACAAAAAATATATAAAAAAAAAATAAATAAATAAAACCCGATTCAGGAAATTTTAATACTAATATAGAATATAAACATTAACATATAATATTAATTACTCTAATATTATGTGATGCAGTAGCTATCATAAAATACTACGTAGTAAATTAATTACTGAAATGTACATACTTGCTAAACCAAAACTTTGAATTCTTTTCCATCCATTCTGTCCTAAATGAAAGAAACATGCTTTGTTAATAACTCCAGGGAACATATAACGTGATGCATTTATTGCTGCTATTTCAAAATCAGTGATTATTCTTGATGGTTTTAACTGAACATTATTCTCCTCTGCAAAGTTAACTAAACTCTCAAATAGCAATTTATAATGCTCCTCAGATTTGTGTGTCATTAATGAATATACAAGAGAAAGTATTCGAGAATTATCATTAGCACCAATAGGTGCATGTATGGTATAGATTTGACGTAAGGTTGTAGGAGCTGTCTGGAATGTGCCATCCATAATCCAAAATAGCGCTCGGGACAAATACTTAATATTTTCAATTGTGCTAAATGTAAGTATTCTACCTTGACTGCCTATTTGTAAAGATAGCAAATATTTTTTATTAATACAAGTTACTCTCAATAAAAAACTTCTCAATCCCATTCTAAGAATTATCTAACTTTTTGGAAACTATATTGCTGTCTCTGGATTGAAGTTCTGAGAACAGCGATATAGTTTCCTTAATATAAAAAAAAAAAGGCTAATTAAACTCTCAATAAAACGTTTAGCCAAAACTAGTCTGTATTTAATCTACTTGATATAAGAAAGTTATTAATAAACTCTCGATATAAGAAAGTTTTATAAAATTTTCACTATGATCTCCAATAACTTTCTTATATCAAGATTAGTTGTATAATTAAAACAGGTGATTTTTATTATGCTCTAGATATATTTAAATCCAGATTTTGAACTTTGTTTTTTTACCATCCCTACCTATTTGATCTCCAATTAAAAAGAGATTATTATTTAGAGTATATTGAAGTGATTCTGGTATATCAAGTTCTAAAATATCTTGCGTTTGTGATGATAATTCTGATTGCCTGACTCGGTAAATTGTTTGACGCAGAGCACTAAGTGATGGAAGGTAAGGGCATATTTCCTCAGGAGTACTAATTATACTCTCCTGAACTATTTTTGCTAGCTTATCTCTTGTATCTCTAGCTTGTTGTTTAATTTTGTGAATAGCTTTTGCAACTTCAGGTTTACTTGCCTCAGGCCCATGATCATGACCTGTAAATTTATGAAGTTTATGTTCATTTTTGACTAACTTAGTAACAGCACGACCCTTACATCCATTGGACTTTTTTTTATCACAACTCCAATAATATGTATCTTCTCGAATACGTTCTTTTGTCATTAAGAAACCCCGAACATTAAGCTTGTCACCTCCTTTGTTTGAAGGTATGATTTCACAAATCTCCTCACTCATTTTAGAATTATAAGATCAAAAAAAAAGAGAAAAAAACTTTTACGATTAAAATTTTTACTTCGACTCCAAAGATTTTCATAACAAATTTGAAGTTTAATGATATGAAAATTAAGAATTTTATGATTAAAAAATCAAAGAGTTCGTTCTAATAATCAAGGTTTGTGATAAATTTTTATTTATAGTAAAAATTTTTTACTTTTTAATAATAAAATTAAAAGTTAAATATATTATTATTGTTATTTCACAAGGTTATTTAAATTAAATAAGTTAATTTAATTAAAAAAGTTAATTTATAATATCGGATAATAGCTAATTTTGATGAAATATTTCAAGCAAAATTGTTAATATCTAGAAATTGTAGTTGAAATAGAAATCATAAAGTATTTATTTATTTATTTATTATCTGAAGTTATTAGAAGCAGGCAAATCTAAATATAAATATAAATACTTATCAAAATACTTATTTATTATTACTAATCTATTTAGGCTATTTTATTAAGTAAGAGAGTTGATTCATTAATAATTTAAATCTGCAAACTACTGGTATGCTAAAAATTATAAACTTAAATCAAATACTTATCAAATTCTAATTTAGATATACTAATAGTATATTAGCATTGTGAATGATATTATTTTAATAGAAAAAATGAAAGTAATATGCAATACGAAGGAAATTGTTATCAAAATAGAATTGAAGTTGAAAAAAAATGGTATTGCATTTCAGAATATGATAGTTCACTAAAAATCTTTAATTAATCATTAGGTAACAGTACTATTACCTAATCCTATATAAATGCTTATCCTTCATTTAGCGAGTGAGTATATAAATAGTTTATTGATCAGTAAAATTAAATCATATTAACTAATACCTCATTTAGCGAGTGAGTATATAAATAGTTTATTAATTAGTAAAATTAAATTATATTAAGAAATATGACAGATAGGATCGTAAAATTACCATAATTTTACGTAGTTTTGTGTAATTTTTCATAAGATTCAGTAAATTGAATTTATATGAAAATGTAATTTTAATCATATGATATCTTATATGTAAAGTTTATTAAATTTTTCATTCATTAATTTTGATTACATGATATCGAATACATAATTATTCATTCGTTTAATTATTTTTATTATATAAAGCATAGTTTTTAAAAAATAAAATAAAATAAAATTGAACTTAAAAATTTTATAACATACTACTGAACTAAAAATAGTTAAAAAAAAAAAAAGAAAGTTGAAAGTAGAAAAGAACATTACAAATGCAAAGCATGTAGTAAGGAAGTAGCAAAAAATGCAACAAGATTACAGAAGTTATGTTTTTTGCAAAATTCAACAATAAATGAAGCTTCAAATGTTAATAAGAAGCAAAAACAATCAATATCGATAATAGTAATCATTATCAGAATAAATTAGAATCACGAAGTAAAAACAATCACAAAACAAAATTAATATATTTGTAAAATATTCATATCGTTACCTGTTTTATATTTAAATTTAACGATATTGTAACAGATGTCTTAGCTATTCAAATAAATCTAATAAATAAAACTAGACCAAGTTTATATAATCCCAGTACTTTATATCATGTGACCAAACTTACTTGAAATTCGATTTACTGAAACTTACGTAAAATTACAAGTAATGTAAGATTGTAATTTTTGTAACACAACTCTAAGTATGACTTTAATTTTAAAGATTAATAATAGTCTATAAATTAGTAGAATTAAAGTCATTGTCCGAAGTGTAGCAGAAGTAGGGTTGTTGGTAGGGATGAGAATCAATTCTAAAAACTTCAATCGGTGATCAAATTGCTTATAATCAATTTATAATCGATAATCGAATTTTACATATATGTCATATCACTTATTTTAATATTGAACAGTATTTTAAACCAAATAATAGATTTTTGTAGTATTAGAATACCGTACAAGGTTTTTATTTTAATCCATCAGTTTTAGAAGTTAGATCCATTGGGTCAATTGTCTAGATATTCAGATATTGATGATCAGAATATCGAATAGTACTTATACCATTTAGATACTATTCAGATACTGTAATATCTGGATGATATTCGCCTGCAGCATGTGTTGTGTAGTATTAAGAATAGCCCAAATAGTGTTGGGCATCATTAAACATAAGCTGAGTAGTGTGGGAAGTATTAAGAGATTCCGAAACAAATATATTTAAAAAAAAAAAAGAGTATACGTACATAATACAGTACATTATCCAGATACTAATAGGATAAAATCAGAATTATATCCAGATACCAAATCCAAAAAACTATAGGCTTAAAATTTAATAAAAAACAATATGCTTTATATTTAACAAACATATAGCCATCAAGAAAATTAAGCGTAACAATATTAAACATTTACAGTAAGTTGGGAAAAATAAGATAGCTAAGCACAAACTAAAGGCTAGGCCATATGACTCGCAAAGTTTAAAAACAAAAGAACTATTTTAAATTAAATAAAATAACTTAAAATAAGTAAATTTCATTATAATTAAAACGATTATATGCTTAGAATCGATTCTAATTCAAGAATTGATTCTAGAAACGATTATAACGATTACACAAAAATGAGAATCGATTCTAATTCGATTAATGATTAAAACAATTATCACAGATTCGATTCTCATCTCTAGTTGTTGACATTGTTAACACAAATAAAATCTTAGTAGCATGCCACTAAAATTTTGCTTGCGCTAACAACTCTAAGCAGAAGACTATACTTCCACTTCAAA